GACCTACGAGCAAATTCTTGTGATCTGTCACGGTCGTGATCTTCGCACCCATCAGGCAAAGGGCCATGTACAACGCGTAGTGCTCGGCCAAACCTGCGCACTGAACTGGTCCAGGGACTGGGCGCGACAGCTGACACCTGAGCACTGCCAGGCTTGAATGAAAGAACAGCCCAGCCTGCTTTTGTCATCCACTCCACCCACGGGTTGATGCCCAGACCGTCAATTAATATCTCATCTCGTAGGTACCCACAACCCAGCAGGCCCCGCGGGGGACACTCATGCTGTCCGTCACTCCATATTCGACAAGCTGATTTCTCCCGAACTCGCAACCGACCGACACGAGCTCCTCACATCCTTGGTCTCTACACCAAGCCTCCAAAGCATCGCAAACATACAACCTGTGAGAAATAGTGCCAGTCGACTGGCCACACCATCTGCATACATCAGAGGTCGTATATCGCTCCTCAAACAGCTTCGATTGCGTCCACAGCCTTCCATACATGTGGATGGATACAAGGTCCGCCGAGACGCCGTCGCCTTTTGCCCTGAGGACATGCAGCTGTGTCTTAATCGGGTCGAGGAAGGGGAGGCCCTGCCAGCCCATGTGCCTGGCCGCCTGAGCCTCCTGCTTCCTCCTGAGACCCCTGTGTGCGAGCGCCTTGAGGGACTTCGCGCTCATCTTTTCGAGGTCCACTTCGAGCCCTTGAGGATCAACCCACCTCGTGTACGACTTGACTTTCCACCCAATACGCCTCAGAGACTGGATCGCAGCTCCACCAGGGCCACTGACTGCAGCCAACCCCGGCCTCACCGTAGAGACCCCAGCTTCGAAGATGGCCTCCATGAAGCCCTTGGGGGCCCAGCTGTCATGATACGCCTGGAACCACGTCGTGAGGGGGAGGGTGTTCACGACGTAGGACGGGTCAAGGTCTGGCGGGTCCTGTTGGAAGTACTGTACTGCTCCAGACCTGAATTTAGCTTTGCCAAACAAGGCGAAGCTAGCAACAACGCGAAGGTTGAGAGGTCCGAGTCGCTCATTCCTGTGACTCTGACACCGTGCGTCGCCGACGCCGAGCCTCCAGCCCGGGTCACTCTGGAGAGCCCAGCCTCGTGGCGCCGCAGCGCTCGGAACCTGCGGTCCTCCCCTGAGAATCTGGATGCGACTCTTCAGAACTCTCCTACCTTTTCTGATCTGCTGGCTGAAATCGCGCCCCAGGTTCTTCGCACTCGAGCCCGCCTTGCAATTTCAAGGCTTGAGGTTCGCACCTATGTCGTCCGCCAGTCTGCTGGGCGACGCGACCACCTGGCACTTCTCCCCGGGCGCTACCAACTCCTGCCTCTTGAGTTGTTTGCATAGCCGCGGAGGCGCCATCGACAACGAGTCTTTCACGAATATGTGCGTACCTATAGCTGAAGCCACTATGCCATCGACCATTATACAACGACGACGACGCCCAGCGAGACCTCATGAACACGAGCAAGTCATTCAACACAACCTGTCACGTGGTAGTAGCGAGGGAGCACCCGGCGATGATCGACCGCGACAGCGACAGCGTCATGACCCCCGATACCACCTCCCGTATTTGGATCATCCTCGCCTCTCCATAGACTCGAAGCAGCAGTCGCGCTCTGCAGCATCATGAGGTCTCTTCACATACGCTTGTTCCAAGTCAATACGACCTGGGGCCGATCTGGCACCAATGAACTTCGTTGCCTCTGTCTGGGCCGCCTGCTGCCGGACTGACTGCTCGCAACTCTCCCCTTTGGAATCGTACGCGCACTCCAAATGATGATCTCTCTCCCGCTGCTTTGCCTGCCTATGCCTGATGCGATCCAGCAACTGTGCACGCGTCGCCAAGATGCCGATGGGCCGATAGCCGCCCTCTGGCTTCTTCAAAAATGCAATCAGTTCCAGGTCGCACTGTTCACATATAACTACAATGGACTTCACAAACGAAAACAACTCGGCGTGCACGACCAGGTCTGCATCACTGAGCATCTTGAGGCTAGCGGGGTTCCAGCCATCGAGGCCTATCGCCGTGTTCTTCTTGATCTTTTTTAGGGCCTCTCGAACCTCCTCCGCGGTGGGTGCCGGAGGGGGCTCGCCTAGCGGAACGTCGGGATCCGGGCCCTCAATCTAGACGGCTCCCTTTCATGCCAGATCTCCGTCTACTTCTCCATGAGGGCCTCCACGATGTCCCCGGGCCCAGCGGGAGCACCATTCAGACTGGCCCCATCGGGGGCCCAACCTTGGGGTTCCATGGTCCACCTGAACACACCTCCTCCACCTTGCTTAAGATTTTGTGACACCCGCTGCCTCCACTTCTGAGTCTTCTTGGCCTGCGCACTCGAGTCCCCCGCTTTGGCAATGGCTCCAACGGCCGCCGGCGCATCCCGCGACTCCTCGCGGGAGACGTCGGCGTGCAGCTTGAAGCCCTCCTGAAAACTCCTCCAATCGGGAATCACATCCAGAGCCTTGATCGGAACAGATAGTTTCCGAACCAGATCCTGGACCCCCTTCGAGACCCACGGATGCTCGAGCCCATGAAGATATGACAATTCCTCCAGCCACACATGGAACCTCCTGGGGGCCCTCGACTCCAAGCTACATTTGGGGAACTGGCCCTTGACGTGCTGCTCCAAAATCGGCTTTTCAACTGCTTGGAGCTTTGTGCCCCTCCCACAGCACAGAGAACGCTCGCGAGCTTCAATACCTAGCGCGTCGCAGAGCTCCTGCTCCATGGTGTCGCACATCTCCCCACGCAATAGGGGGGGCTCGTCACCCGAGGGCTGCTGTCGCAGCCGTTCAAACTTGTGAAACATCTGAGTCCAGTCCTGCGGCGTCGGAATGGGACCCGCGGGCTTGTCCAGGGGAAACGGTCTCAGCACCTTGAGCGCCCTCTCGATCGTCTGGTGGGCGCAAGTGTCGAGCACCAACGACGCTGGGAAGTGCATCTTGTTGCTGGAATCTTCGAGCCTACCACAAGCCATCACTTCCCCAACGAGGTCGTGCGATACTACGAAGTAGTCAAGTTCACGCCGTGCCTTTCCCACGCGACAAGTAGGCTTCACTGAGTTGACTACCACGGCTCGAAGCTTCCCCAAGACAGGCAACGTCTTGACCTCTGACGGGACGTCATTGACATCAGCAGCAATCGCGAAGGGCCTATGGGCACTGAAGAGAAGCTCCCCGAGCTGGTTGAGCAACTGTCTACCCTTGGTGCCCTTGGCCCCTTCTCCGTCAGAGCAGAGACTGCGCGTGTGCAACCCGCCACGTGCGCACCTGGCCACCCGCGCGACGGTAGCACGAGCATGATGTACACGCTGTGCATCTCCCAAATTTGGGGGCCACCTGCGAACCCTACCCCTACCCCCCACGATTTCTGAGGGGGAGGCTCGCCCGCCGCCGACCCCTCGGACCGCGAGACGTGAGGGGCGCGAGGACTCGCGACTCCTGAATGCAGACAGCGTCTCTGCGTCGAAAAGAGATCGCCAGTCGGCCAGACTCGAGCCCCTGCCCATCCCGACGCGCTGGCCCTGACTCTCCGCCGCGACCTCCCCCGGAGGGAGCACCGGTGGTGCCGGCCGCCGCAGCCGCCGCGCGGAGGCCCTCCGAGAGGGTCCTCCGGGGCGCCGCCGCGCGGAGGCCTTTTCTCGCAAGGGCGCTGGCGCGCCGACCGCCGGGCGGGGGGCGGCTCCCGGCGCGGCCGCAGCCCTGGGCCCGCTGGAGGTGTGGGGGGGGGGCAGGCGGCCAGGCGAGACCGAGGAGGAGGAGGAGGAGGAGGAGGAGGAGGAGGAGGAGGAGGAGGAGGAGGAGGGGGAGGAGGAAGGAGAGGAGGAGGGAGGAGGAGGAGGAGGGAGAGGAGGAGGGGGAGGAGAGGAGGAGGAGCAGCAGGCACCCCCCCCCCCCACCTTCCTGCCGAGGAGCCGCGGGCGCCGCTGCTGTTCCATCTCCGCCATCGGCGTCGCTCGGCCGCCGGCCTCGCCCGCAGCTCCTCCTGCTCCTGCTTCGCCTGCTCCGCCTTGGCTCTGAGGTCCCCGAGGAGCGGTGGCGCCGTCTCCTGGAACCGAGCCTGCCACTCCTCTTGGGCGCGCCTTGGCCTCCTTCCTGTCCCGTGCGGGCCCCTCGACCGCCTCGAGCCCTGACCCCGGGGGGAGGCGAACGCCCTGGGCAGTGGCCTTGAGCCAAAATGGCTTGAGCCAAGCTGCGGACTCCTCCTCCTCCTCCTCCTCCTCCTCCTCCTCGTCCTCCTCCTCCCCCTCCTCCTTCTCCTCCTCCTCCTCCTCCTCCTCCTCCTCCTCCCTCCCCCTCCTCTTCCTCCTCCTTCCCCGCCTTCTCCAGTGGACCGCGGCCCCCAAAGCACTGCGGTCCGGTGCCCGCCCAGCGCCCCAGTGCGCGGCACCGCCCCCCCGTGCGCAGCCTCTGCCTGGTGCCTGGCCGGAGTGCCCTGCTGCCAAGCAGCGGCCGCCCAAGAGAGGGAGGAGCTGCTCCTCCTCCTCCTCCTCCCCTCCTCTCCCCTCCTCCTCCTCCTCCTCCTCCTCCTCCTCCTCCTCCTCCCCCTCCTCCTGCTCCTCCTCCTCCTCCTGCTCCTCCGCCTTCCTGCTGCTGAACTCGTTCATCTCTGCATGGGGCCACTTTGCAGTGTTCGTCGGTATGTCGGTGGACACCTGAGCGATGCACAACATGGGTTCGATTGCGCGGACTTTCGCGCGTACGCTTCCGGCGTGAAGTCGCGCGTAAGCGCCATCGTTTCCAATCTAGCGTGCCGCGCTGGCGGCCGCTGTGCGTAAGCCGGTGCATAAGGTCACCATACCGTCTCGCGCAGGACCCGTTTCGTTCCGTTGCTCGTCGGAGCGACTCATAAACAAAGGGGTCGTCTTCACCGACATTGGCGCCCAAGCGCCCTCCTTCGTCTCCAACTCGGCGTGCCACGATGGCGGCCCTGCGGCGTAAGGTCGCTGTGCCATTTCGCGTAAGACCCGTTTTTGACCGTCGCTCATCTGAGAGTCTTTACGCCTCCCCCAGGGCCCATCTCGATCCGATCGACCCGATTCGATATCGGCTCCTGCAATCCCGGCTCGATTCGATTCCGTGTTTGGGTCGTTCGATCCGATGCGGCCCGATGCTCGCACGGCGATTCTGTGCATCCTGGCGCCGCCGATCCGATTTGCTCCCGACCCCGTGCCGACGCGGTCCGCTCCGATAACACGCTCCGATCCGATCCGATCCCCCGATTCGAGCGCTGACTGTTCCCCCGCCCCTCGCCCAGTCCGTCACCGCCCACCAAACCACCCCAACCCAGCCCGACGGCCCCGATTTGCCCTCCTTTCCAGTGGGGGGGGGGGGTCGGGGAACATGGAACAAACACACACACGTATGAATCCCGTGCCCCCCCCCCCCAGCCCGAAATCCGGGTCTTCGGGTCGGGTTGGGGTGGCTTGGCATTGGGGGTGGACAGAACCCCCACCCTGACACGTCGATTAGTGAATTGTCCGTTTTCGGATCTCGAGAGGGCGCCGCGGCCGTTACTTTCCAGGCTTGCGCCCGCCAGGTTTGGGCCCGAGGTCGTTTTCACTACTGTGCCGTTTTTAATACATGCTCCGCGTGCGGATCATGTGTTAAAAATACACGGAATTAGTATTGAAAACAACGATGAGTTCATGCATACATGTATTCATACATGAATCATGCATTAAAGGTCTTATATTTTATACACATGCGATGTACCAAACACTGCCATGTGAACCACGCTTTGCGAAAGGTGGCTCTGTCCATCCCCGATGGCAGGCAGCCAGTCCGTGGCCGGGCCCGCACGGGCCCAAGCCTCCACGGGGAGCCTGCCGCGGGAGGCGGCGCCTCCCCCCCGGCCTGCTGCGCGCCCATGGCGGGCCCGGGCGCGCCCGCGCGGGCCCCGCCGCGCGGCCCCGGCCACGAGCGGGGGCTCGAGCTCGTGGAGCTGGCGGGCGCTGCCTCCGCGGAGCTGGGCGCGGGCGCGCCCCTCGCGGCCTGCGCAGGTGTCGGCCGCGCGCAGGGACGGGGGGGGCCCTGCGCCAGAATGGCCTCTCTGGGCCCATCTCGATGCGATCGGTCCGACGCGGCATCGGGTTCCGAGGGGAGGAAGAGGTATACCCATGCCACTGCCCTTCGCTCCTTGTCCCCTTTTTGGGCCTCCTGGGAGGTCCTCGTCGCCAAGGCTGGATTCGCCCCGAAATCTTGGTCAGAACGGACCCAGGGAGAGGTCCGGGGAGTAATGGTATCGGTACCTGTTCGTTTCCCCAGTTTCGGCCGGCCCGTGGGGTCCGAGTAGGTGGGCTCGGTGGTTTTCGCCTCATTTCCTATGCATCGGCGAAGCGGTGCGATGTGGAGCTCGATTTATTCCACGCCTTCGGCGCCGATGCAACGAACCCAGAGGCCGAAAAGTGTGAAATACCTCCTCCTCCATGTCTCCTTACGTCGTAAGGAGGCAACTCCTGGGAAGTTACATTCAGCATCGGCGCTGGCATATCCGTTGTCGCAAATCGGTCTAATTTGGCATGCTCCCCGCTAATATCTGCCCAATCCCGCCGTATCCCCTCTAATACCGCTTAACCCCGCTTATCCCAGGCGTAAGTCCGGGCTGATTTGGCGGTGTGGCCTCTTGGTCGGGCTTTCTAGCCGTTCATCGTTCTTGCGAAGACCTCCCAGGAGTTGCCTCCTAACGATGGACGTCGGGGTAGGAGACCGTTTTCAACCCCTGTCGATAACGGGCGTGACCGTGGGGGGGAAGTGGCGATGGGAAGGAGGCCAGTCACGTCACGATCCGTGCTGGCGCCGTCAGGGATTGCTTAAGGATGGCTAACTCCCATATGGCACCAGCGCGAATCGTGAAGTGACCATGGGGGTATGGCAGGCGGGGCGGGGGGGGGCGGGGCGGGTCACAGGCGTTCTTTCATATCTGACGTTTCAAACAGAAAGCGAAATCGCAAAAATCACCCATGGAGCCCCAGACTCCATGCCGACCCCATCGCTCTGCGCCATCTGTCGAGCCGCATCGATTCGTGAGGGTCCCAAATGCGCCAGTTGTGCAGAGAATGCGCCAGGATATCTCAGGGCTTCCGCGAGCAGTGTGAACCCAGACCCCCGACGTCGTGATTTCTCCGCAGCGTCGACCCCCACGTGTCTGGACCCCTTCCTCGGGACCTTTTTTTGTCCTGGGTAGTTTCTTGACGGCCCCTGGAGGCCTGGCAGGGGCCCCTGGAGGCCGCACGCAGGGAGGAACCTCCCGCCGTGATTTTTTCCCGGCGCGAGGGGGCCGTGGGGGAGCGGGCCCCGGCCGAAGGTGCCCGGCGGGCGAGCCCCGAGGGCGGGGCCGCCGGCGAGGGCGGGGCCGCCCTGAGCCGCCGCGTGGCTGCGCGGCTGGCGCTGCTGGCGATCTGCGCCGCGGCCCTGGGAGGCGCGATGGCGCGGCGGGCGGAGGCCGCGTGCCCCCGCTGGGCGGTCTCCTCAGCGCCGGGCGCTGCCAGGGGTCCTCCAGGCTCCTCCTCCTCCTCCTCCTCCTCCTCCTCCTCCTCCTCCTCCTTCTCCATCTCCCCCTCCTCCTCCTCCTCCTCCTTCTCCATCTCCCCCTCCTCCTCCTCTTCCTCCTCCTCCTCCTCCTCCTCCTCCTCCTCCTCCTCTTCCAGGCCTCCTGGTGGGGGCTCCGAGCAGGTGGGGTCGGAGGATGTCACCGCATCGGCGATGCGTCGACGATGCGGCCCATGACTTCGCGCCCAAGTTGTCTGAAGTGTCGTCTCCTCCCAGTTCCGAGGGGAAAGGCATACCGGTCCTGGAGAGCCCTCGTCACCATGGCCGGGTTCTCCTCGGAGTCCTGGCCAGAAAGCGCCCTGGGAGAGATCTGGGGAGTGGCGGTCTCCGTATCTTTGAATTCCCCCCAAACGGTGCCCCTGGTGCAAGGCGTCCCCCTCCTGGCCCGATGGGGCCGCTGGGCACGGTCTTCTGTGGGGGTGTCCAAAGAGGCCAAGGGAGCTGGGCATGCATCTCTGCCCAGGTTCCTAGGCGAGGACGAATCCATATCCACTGCCTGGGGAATGGACATTCCGGGACCTCGGCAGGCGGTGGATGAAGGTACATTTTGGCCCCCTGGGGGCCAATCTACACATACACATTTACGTATAACATCATACACAGTCAGGTGTGTATGTGTACATCTATACATACATACATACATACATACATACATGCATGCATGCATACGTACATACGTACATACAAACATACATACATGCATACATACATACATACATACATACGTACGTACGTACGTACGTACATACATACATACATACATACATACATACATACATGCATACATCCACATCCACCGCTACCAAGGGTCCCAGGACGTCGATTCCCGAGACGGTGGCTATGGATAGATCCCCACCTCGCTCTCCAGACCCTCGACACCATGATGTTTTTGTGACGTCGACGCCCAAAGTTCTCGACCTATTCCCTGGGACTGGCTTCTTTTCCCCGAGTTGTGCTTTGAAGGTCCCGGGGCCCGGCGAGGGCCCGTGGAGGCGAACACATGTGAACAACCTTTCGTCGCGCTGTTTTCCTAACCCGAGGGGGTCTGGGGCAGGGGCTCCGCTGGCAGCGCCCGATCATGGGCCGACTATTGGCCGCTGTATGCCGCGAGCGCGCCCGCGTCGCTGGCCTTCGCGGCTTGTGGGGAGGAGGAGAAGCGACACCAACCCCACCAGGAGGCCACCTCCAACGAAGAGGTCCACGAGGCCTCCCCGAGCTGGGGATCGAGAATGTCTCGAGCGAGAGGGGGGGGGCCACACCACCAGGAGGACCCCTCCCTGGCTCCTGCCGCTGATGGTCCCTGGTGGTGCCTGGTGTCGCTTTTCCATGCTCCTAGGCCTGGTGCGTCCTTGCGCGCCGGCGCTTCGAGGTCGAAGTGCCCCTGCACGCGTGGACGCGGCGCTTCGGGGCGGGCGCGGCGCTCCACGGGGTCAGCCTGCTGGCCATCACTAGCGGCGAACAGATCCCCAGACCTGCCCCGAGATTCCAGGCCTCCCAGGTGGGGTCGGAGCAGATGGGGTCGGAGGATCGCGCCGCATCGTCGATGCATCGCCGATGCGGTTCGATGTGGAGCCCGAATTGCTTTGCGTAGACGTCGCAAACGCACCGCCGACGTCGCCGATGCATCGCCGTTCCATCGCCGAATCATCACCGATGCGACGCCGATGTATCGGCGATGCGGCGCGATCCTCCGACCCCATCTACTCCGACTCCATCTAGGATGGCTCTGGATCCCCAGACTTGCCCTGAGATCCTGGCGTGGCAACTTTATCTCAGCGGTCGTTTTCGCGCCCAGTTTCGGGCCCCAGGACCCTCACATATCGATCCGGCTTTAGAAATGACGGGGAAAAATGGACTCCAGGGATCTGGTCGTGATTTTTGGCGATGTTGCATTTTTTCCTCGCATCGTCGGATCCTAGGGGTCTCGCATCATGAACAACTCAGAACGGGAGGTTCTTCCTCTCGCTCGAGGCCTCTCGTGGGGTCGCTCACCAGGCCCGGGGGACTGCAAACCAACGGCCCGGGATGACAAACTGGTCCAAGGCAGAGGGTCGGGATTTCTGGGGATCTCGTATGGGAAAAAATGAAGAATTCATGTATCTTCCACGTCGTATCTCGTATGGAAAAGACATCTGGGCCTCGTATCCATGTACTCTCGGAAAAAATAAAGACTGGCATCTCGTATGGAAAAGACGTCTGGGACTTCTGGGGATCTCGTATGTCTGGGTCCGTATCCGCGCCCTCGCGGTCTTGATTCCAGGGGCGCGACCCCGCAGCTACGCGGCCGCAGGGGTGCGCTCCGCATGCGCGGCAGCCGCGGACAAAGCTCCTCGTCACCGCGGGGTCGCGGGGCAGCCCGCGAGGCCGCGGAACCGGACCTGTCTCGCCCGCGAGGCGTTTCCCGGCCCGCGGTGCGGGGGCAACGGCTGGCACCGCGCGACCCTCGCCCTGGCCCTCGTGGCCTACTACGCCACGGTCTTCGTGCAGTGGCGCTCGGGAGAGGAAGAGATGCCCATGGGCGCTGCTCGTTCTGGAGAGCCCTCGTCGCCACGGCTGGATTCTCCTCGACATGCTGGTCGGAACGCACCCTGCGTGAGGTCTGGGGAGTAGCGGTCTCTCCTGAAGGGCTTACCGTCTTTTCTCTATCGACTTGCGGGGATTAGGCAACTACAGCATCAGGGTAAGTTTACCTGGGCGACGCAAGACAACTGGTTCGTTTCTGCCGACAATGTCGCGTAAGCTGCACGCGTACGGTCGCGCGGAAGCGCCCTCGTTTCCAGTGCAGCGTGCCTCGCTGGCGGCCTGCGTAAACCACCGCGCAAGCAACGTCGTCTTGCGCAAGACCTGAATCGTTTCGTCGCTCACCCAGATTAGACATCGCTCGTGCGTGTTTTTCTCGGCGAGGGCCATCGAGGAACATCCTGGATCATCGTGCGAGCACTACGCGAGCGAAGCCGACAGTGCACGGTGAATGGATGTCGAGCGATGGCGAGCAGATCCAGTGAGTCCAGAGATGTCCACGAAGATCTGGAACCAACCGTGAGCGCTCCAGCGCGAGTCGAGGGGCAGCAGCATCATCATCATCATCATCATCATCATCATCATCATCATCATCATCATCATCATCATCATCATCATCATCATCATCATTATCATCATCATCATCATCAGCAGCAGCAGCAGCAGCAGCAGCAGCAGCAGCCGTTAGAAACACTTCCCCATTGTATCGATGCCTTTTCTGTTTTTGCTTCCCCAGGCTGGAGCCAGCCGGGGGTCTGAGGTGGCCCATCGGGGCCCAAGAGACGGGGGTAAAGGCAAATGGGGGTCAGTCAGATCGCTGGATCTTGCATGATCTTGCAGAGCCAGGGTTGCATTGACCTGGGTTTTGGTGCAGGATCCTGCAGGATCCTGCAGGATCTTGCAGGATGCTGCGAAGCCTAACTTACCCGGGCCTGGATTGACCCAGGTCTGAAGATCCCCGAGCCTTGCATTGGTTTTGGCCAGCAGGGATGGGGGGCTGGTTCGAGCCTCGGGGTTCGGGAAGGTTTTTGCTGCCTGTTTCCGCCCTCGGGGCTCATTTTCGGGTCTGGGACCGTTATCAGCAGATCCAGGGCGAAAAACGGCGTCAGTTGGACCCCGAGAGGGGTCCAGAGACAGATTTTGACCAGATTTGGCCCCATCCCCCCCTCTTGATCGATTCTCCAGGGTCCCAACCAGTTCCGACCCCCCGGCCGCCTTCCCAGACGTGGTCGCGTCGTGACATGATGACGACGGAAGGCCGTTGGCTGTTTTCGGCCTTTGGAGCCCCTTCTCCGGGATTCGGGGCTCTCCACCAAGCGCTCGGGGTGAGAAGCGAGTCCCTGGGAAGGGCTCCAGACGCAACGATTCGGGGGGGGGACTGGCAAAAGGGGGAACGCATCGACCTGGCATCGGCGGCAACGTCGGTAAATCAGCGATGGGCCCCCGACAAAAGAATCCTCTCCTCCCCGGGCTTGGGTGGGGCCATCGGGCCCCTATACCTCGGCGATCCACGGGCGATTGGGGGTCGACGTGTCCCCTCCCGTACCTCTCCCCCTGCAGCGTTGCCCCTGACTCTGGGGGCCCATCCACTGAGAGCCCCGGGGCGGCCCCAGGCGAGCAGCGAGTCCGCTCGGGCGGGGGCCCAGGCCTCGGGGTGCCCCAGCCGGCTCGGGCCCCCCCTCCTCCTCCTCCTCCTCCTCCTCCTCCTCCTCCTCCTACTCCTCCTCCTCCTCCTCCTCCTCCTCCTCCTCCCTCCTCCTCCTCCTCCTCCTCCTCCCTCCTCCTCCTCCTCCGCCTCCCCCTCCTCCCCCTCCTCCCCCTCCCCCTCCTCCTCCTCCCTCTCATCCCCCTCCTCTTACCGCTTACCGATGCCCCCCAGGCACCTCCTGGTCCTGAGGCTGCGCGCGCTGGGGCGGCCCTGCCTCGCCGCGGCGGCGCGGGCGGCCTGCCTGCTGGGCGCGGCCAGCGCGGCCGCGTGCCTCGGCCTGCTGTCCGCGGGTGTGATTTCGGAAGCTGCCCGGGGGATCGGAGGTGGCCCAGCACTGGTTCTGGCCAGCAGGCAGGGCAGGCGCAGGTTCGAGGAGTTGGGTTCGGGGAGGTGTTTTTTTTTGCGCTTGGCTGTGTGGTCTTGTTTTTTTGTCGACCTCCGAGGCCGTTCTCGGGCCCCGGGACCGTCAAAAACGGATTGGGGGTGAAGAGTTGGAAGACGTGCACCAATGGACCCCATGAGGGATTTGGGGTCCGATTTTGGACGGATTTGGCCTCCTGCCCGATTTTCTCGGACCCCAGCCAGTTCAGATCCCCCGGCCGCCTTCAAGGTGCGATGGCTATCCTGGAGGAGGACTTCGCGAAGTTCCCGGCGGTGCTCGGCCTCCTCCTGTTCCACTGCTGCCAGGGCGTGGGGTTCTGCTGCGGGGCCTGGGGGCTGCTGGCTGGCGCCGCGCGCGCCGCGCGCTCCAGGCGCGCGGGGTCGGCCCGGGCGGCTGCGTGGGTGGGCATGGCGGGCGTGCTTGCGCTGTCGTCCCTGCTGCTGTCCTACGCGCAGTTTACGTTGTTCTGGCACAGCTCGCAGGTTCTCTGGGCCGCCGCCTGGGCCTACGACAATGCCCTCAATTGCCTCTCCGCGGCGCTCCTGTCGGGCCTGGTGGGGCCGCCCGAATTGCGGCGCTTGGCAGATGAGGCCTTTGAGCGGATCAACTCGTACGGCGAGGGCCAGCTGCAGGCCTTCTACCTGGAGTACCTGGAGTACCTGGATCAGGCGCAGGTGAAGTGGGTGCGCTGCGGGTACCTCAGGCCTGGGCCACCCGCGTGGCTCGGATCGATCGAGGAGGAGGAGGAAAAGAAGGAGGGGGAGGAGGACCAGTGTAAACCCAAGAGTCATCAACGATGTTGTACAAATCCTCTCTCCAAGCTCCCTCTTCATAGGCCCCTGCAAGGGCACATTTCCACTGAGGGAACTGCCTCGTTGGAAGACAACCGTTTGAAGACCTTGAAGTATGCCAGCACATTATTCTCGGGACTCCAACGCCACGGATCAACACGATTGTTGCGTCTTGACGATCCTGAGTCGTGCCTGAACGCCATTCCTGGGAATTCAACGCTGCGAATCGACGTAACTGCTGCACCCTTCTAATCCTGAATATGTCCAAAACACCTCTTCTGGTAAATTGACCATGGGAGTCCGTGCAACTCATGCAGGTGTTTAAAGCGAATGTGCGCGGCGCGAAGGCGAGAGCTATATTTTGAAAACGGATGTGCGCGGCGCTACGGCGAGAGCCACATTTTGAAAACGACCCGCCCTCAATATGTGACATTGTTGCCAATTCTTAATAAGCTTCAGAGTCATAAGCGGTGAGAATCTCACGACAAACGCCTGGGCCGCCCTTTCGACAGGCCTCGGGGTGCGACAAGGAGAAGTTCATTGTAAGGAGAAGGAATGGAGGAGGAGGAGGAGAAGCAAGAGGAGGAGGAGGAGGAGGAGGAGGAGGAGGAGGAGGAGGAGGAGGAGGAGGAGCAAGAGGAGGAGGAGGAGGAAGAGGAGGAGGAGGAGGAGAGGAGGAGGAGGAGGAGGAGGAGGAAGAAGAGGCGGAGGAGAAGGGGGGAGGGGGTCGAGGGAACAGGGAAGGAGGGAGGGGGGCGAGGTAGGGGTCCCAGGGAGCTGGGCGGAGGCAACAGTGGGGAGGGAGGGTAGAGGTGCCAAGACGCATCGCATCGCCCCGAGGGGACAATGTCGAGCTCAGTCGTCCTCCGGCTGGCCGTGCATGAGCTGTTCCTGCGGCCGCGTTCAGGAACAGGAGGATGAGGACACCGAGGATGAGGATGAGCAGCAGCAGCAGCAGCAGGAGGATGAGGAGTTGGAGACGTTTGGGCGGGCCGCGATGCTCGAGTCGCGTCCTGGTCGTGGGCGACCCCCACCTCAGGCGGCTGGCCGAGGCCGGGTCCACCATGGTGCGGTACCAGGAGGTGCCCGCCAGCGAGGCGGTGGTCGGTCGTTTGGGCTTCCCGCGCGCCAGGGGCGATCCCAAGCACAGATTCGTTCTGTCGCACCCATGGCTGTCAAAGGTCACATGATGAAAAGCTACCGATGCCGCCAGCTTTCCGTTTTTCTTGTTTTTTTGGCCTCCTGAGAGGCCTTCGTCGCCACGGCTGGATTCGCCTCGAAATCTGGGTCAGACCGCACCCAGAGCGAGGTCTGGGGAGTGGCGGTATCAGCATCTTTTTCCGGTTGTTTCAGAAGGAGCATCCGGACCCGAGCGGGATGAAGCTGCGGCAGCTGGTTCAGCAGCTGGACCTCCTGGAAGCCTCCGACGACGATGCCGCAGGGGTGATGTAATTGTAATGAGCTGTCCGCCGCAGGTGGTTTTGTAGTGTTTCTTTTCAGGGGGTCGGTTTTCGCCCCTTCCGCAGGGTTTATTGTGCTGCCCTGGGGGTGTTGTTGTGTCGTGTCCATCCGCAGGCGGTCTTTATCGACTACATGGGGCTTCCTCAAAACGACAAGCAGCACCCAGAGTATCAGAGCCTGGAGCGGGAGGGCAGGGTGCCGAAGCCAGGTGAGCACCCAGCTGTCCGCACAGTGGCGGAAGAGGCGTTGTTCCAGAAGGCGTTGAGCTCGATGGAGCTGATGTATAGCATGGGTAACACTCCTGTCATCGTTCTGCCAATGGACGACGAGCTTGATACCGGCCATGAGTACTTGGCGCGAGGCTGGTGCTTCTTCGAGTTCTCCCTCGCGTTCAGTTTTGGAACTATAGGGAATGCTGATTTCCATGCCCCTGTGAACACAATGCTCACGAGAGCTGCCGACTTGAAAGTTGACACAGTGGATGGTTTCCAAAAGGGATTTAAATCGACCCGGTTCACCAACAAGGGTGACCAGACAACGGTCTTCAATCTCTTCGAGCAGACTTTGAACAAGAGACTGTAATCAGAGCGCCTCAGCTGCTAAGAATTCTCGAGAAATGTTGATATCGATGTTGAAGCCTCTATGATTCTATCCAGGTGCTCTTGGCCACCAATATGAGAGTCTTCATCTACGCAATTGGAAGTGGAATGAGCTCGTCGAGGAACGACCTGTGAGAATTTAGTGGGGCGATCTTTAGATCGATATTTCCTGGATCCAGGGGTGTCAGAGAGATTAACGAACGCAAGCAAATGAAGAGCACAATGAGAGCCTCGGAGATGCTTTCGATCACGCCCACTGCGAATCACCAGCGCCGCCCCGTGCAACCGCGAAGCGTGTGTGGCGGAGAATTGGTGCCAAGCCTGCTCGGCAGTGGCTGTCTGGACGACGGGGGAAGCAGTCACTGAGGTCCAGAGTGAAGGGCCTCCTCGGGGCCCTTCTGTGGGCCCCGCTCTTGGGCCTCCTTGCCGCGCCGTGGTGCACCAGATCTTCGCCGAGGACGTAGAGCCGTTCGGCAAGCAGGCACCTGCTAGGGCGGCGGCTGCGCAGGCTTCGGGTTGAGCATCCTCGTCTACAGCCGAGTTCGAGTAGCTGGTCGACCCTTTGACTCAAGAGTACCCTTTGTTTCCTGTGGGTTCGTGGCCCATGTCCTCTGCATCCCTGTTGCAATGTGGCCCTCAGAAGGGTCTTGTCCTCTCGCGTGTCCACTGCAAACAAACTCGATCGCATTGATCGTGCTCGGGATCCTCAAGCAGCTCGTGTGAGCCCCCGTCGGGCGTTGGGCCACCCGTGAGGGCGCAGCCGCGGTTTCCATTGCCTTCGGCACTCGGCGTTTGGAGTGTCATCTTCCCAGTGGGCCTCTCGTGGGACCCTCTTGTGCCGCCGCGGGGCTCCCCTTGGGCCGCCTGGAGCCCCTTCGAGAGTGGGACGTCTTCAGGGCCACATTGGGCCAGCATTGGACGTCTTCAGGGCCACATTGGGCCAGCATTGGACTGCCTCGGGCCAGGGCCCGGTTCCCCCCCCCCCCCCCCCCCCCACCCCCCTTCCCCCCCCCCCCTTGGGGCGATTTGCTGGAAATCTCGGCCGTCTTGGGTGGAGATCGACATGTCGACAGTGTTAACTCAGCATGATTTGGCGCCCAGTGTTTTCAGCAGCGCCTTGGAGTCGGGGCACGCCGTGCGCCCCATCGGTGACTCAAGAGGAGAGGGTGTGGCGGGTCTGGTGGCCGTCGGCTCATCCAGGGATTGCGCCTTGTGTGTGTGTGTGTGTGAACGTCAGGCCCGCCTCCTGTTCGTCTCTCCTTCCGCTGTTCTATCGTTGTCCCTCTCTCTCTTTCCTGTTTGCGCAATTTAGGCCGTAGTTAGTTTGTTACGACTTCGGACGGCGCTCGGCACTTCCGCTACGCTCGCGATCAAAAGTGTGTGTGAACGTGTATCTTTCAGAAGCGCCTCGGATACCTTTGGGAATCGTTGGGGACCTCTTGGGGCCAACCCCTTGGAGGCCTCTCGGGGCCCACCTGGGGTCGTCCGAGGGCACCTGTGTGGGAGAAACATGTCTTTCTGCTTCCAAGTGGGACGGTCCGTGTCCCGATGGGCTTGCTGTGTCCTGAGTGTGGCTTAATGTGTCCGATCCTGCGTTCCTTGGGATTCATATGGGCATCCGCGGTTAACCCGTAGGAATCTTGCGAGACACCGTTCGGAATGCGAAATACATCATTCAGGTACTTTCTTTTTGGCGGCTATCGGACATCCTTCGGACGACCGTAGGGATGCTGTGAGACATCCTTCGGACATCTGTGTGAACTCGTTGTGGGACCCTTAGGACACTCATGACTCATGATGCTGTTAACGATGTATTGTAGGGCAGCATGTATGGCCTTACTGATGCTAGTGCTCCGGGGAAGGTGCAGTACATGTGTCATGATACGTTTATGGTTGGCGACCGAGATTTTGTATAAGAGCGGACTTCGGAAGTTGTTGAGGGTGAACTGTCTGATGTTGTTGGGTACTGGTCATGATGTCGGGAGGACTGTGTTTAGAGTTTCGCATATGAGGTTGACCATTGTGTTTTAGGACGGTGTTTCGGATCTTTGTTCGGAGATTCCCCAAGCCGTGCTAGTACCCAGAGGTCCTCACCAGTTGTACGAAGTCATTGAGCGGGTCCGCCGAGGTTTTGCCGAGGTCGCCGCCCGGTGCCGCCTCGTTGCCGCCCTCTCGGGGGGCTCCGTCGAGGTTTTGCCGCATCGCCGCCCGTTGCCGCCTCGTTGCCGCCCATTTGGGGGGGCCGTCTAGGTTTCACTGCGTTGCCGCCTCGTTGCCGCCCTCTCGAGGTCGAGGTCCGTCGAGGTTTCGCCGCGTCGCCGCTCTTTGCCGCCTCGCTGCCTTGCTATGCCCGACCACTTGGGTGGCCCGGCTCCGCCGAGGCGTCGCCGCGTCGTGGCCCGAGGCCGCCTCGTTGCCGCTGCGTTGCCGCCCACCATTGGGGAGTCTTCGCATCGCCGCCCGTTGCCGCCTCGTCGCCGCCCGCTTTTTGGACGTCTGCCGAGGTCTCGCCGCGTCGCGGCGCCTCGTTGCCGCCTCGGTGCCGCCTTGCTGTCGCCCACTGAGCGGGCCCGTCGCGTTGCCGTCTCGTTGCTGCCCACTTTGGGGGGCCCGTCGAGGTCTCCCTGCGTCGCCGCCCGGTGCCGCCTCGTTGTCGCGCTCTCGTTTGGGGGGTCCGTCTCGAGGTTTTGCCGCATCGCCGCCCGCTGCCGCCTCGTTGCCGCCCACTTAGGGGGGTCCGTCGAGGCTTTTCCTGTGTCGCCCACGTTGCAGCCTCGTTGCCGCCCGCTTAGCGGGGTCCGTCGAGGATTCCCCGTGTCGCCCACGTTGCCGCTCACGCTGCCGCCCACTTAGGGGGGCCCGTCGAGGTTTCGCGTCGCCGCTTTGCTGCCGCTCACGTTGGGTGGTTTGCCGAGGTCACCGCCCGTTGCCGCCTCGCTGTCGCCCTCTCTTGGGGGGTCCGTCGAGGTTTTGCCGCATTGCCGCCCGCTGCCGCCTCGTTGCCGCCCACTTGGGGGGCCCGTCGAGGTTTCACTGCGTTGCCGCCTCGTTGCCGCCCTCTCGGGGGGCTCCGTCGAGGTTTTGCCGCATCGCCGCCCGTTGCCGCCTCGTTGCCGCCCATTTGGGGGGGTCAGCCGAGGTTTCGCCGCGCCGCCTCGCTGCCGCCCTCTCCTGGGGGGTTTGCCGAGGTCGCTGCCCGTTGCCGCTTCGTTCTCGCCCATTGGGGGGGGGTCGTCGAGGTTTCGCCGCAGAGCCGCCCGTTACCGCCTCATTGTCGCCCTTCGCGCGTGAGGGGTCCGTCGAGGTTGCACCAGATAGTTTACACCAAATAGGTTGCACAACAGTCGCCACGCAGATTGCACCACATAACTTACACATCTAGTGCAATGACTTCCTGTTTTGGGGTTCACGCTGGCTAGTATTGTTTAGGGGACTGCACATGTGCACGTAGTGGCAGATGCACGTGTGCACATGACGAAGTGTGTGCCCGTGCACACGATGGCGCAGCCACCCATGATGTCGGGCTGACTCATGACGGCCGACACGAGATTTGCAGACACATACAGCAGACTGAATGTTCAGCAGTAACGGGGCATGTTCATTTCAACACCATGCTACAGTTCGCCTAGTCATATGCCACGCAATAAGGCACACAGCAAGCCCCATCGTGACACAGAAAGGCCCTCACCACCGTTTCCTGGGACACAGCACTCCCAACCGGGACACAGAACGCCCCCACTTGGGCACTTACCGTATTAGTCGCTCTTGGGGGGGGGGGCTGTTGAGGGCCTTCGAGAGGCCTCTTGGGGGCCTGCTGGCGATCTTAGGGCCATGTTACCCATGAGGGCTCCTACGGTCCGTTCGTGTTCGCCTTGTCGTGCCCCTCTTGGTATTGTCTTTGGCTCGGTGGCCGTCTTTAGCCGATGCTTTGGACCTGCTGAAAAAGCGAGATCGCCCAAACCATACAAACAGAAGACTTGTCATACCCCAGGATCGGATTCTTATTATCAGTTTGACACTTCTGCCTGTTCCTCACTCACCCGCATTCCCTGCACACTCATACTCAACTCAGCTCAGGCATAATCAGATCCACTCGTACGCAGCGTAGTCATATTCAGATTATCCACATCAGATTTTTAGTCACTCGTACCCAATCTCTCACATCATACTCATATTCATACTGACTTATACTCAGACTAATTCACCCAGCCTCGCCCACGCTCACTCACATACACTCAGATTGACTGACACTCAGAATCACTCGTACTTATACTGCTCATACTCAGGCCGCGCGCACTTCTATCTGCTTTGTCTGGCGTGCCAATTAACATCTTGTATGTATTTTCCTCGAGGTGGATTTTCGCGACAACTGCGACGCCGTCTCATGCGGCTGATCGAATAGCGCGTGACAGAGTTCAAGAAACTCCTCCTTCTCTCTCCTCCGTTTTCCTCTTGGGGGAACCAGGCAATGAGAAGGAGGAGGGAGGAGGGGGAAGGGGCATGGCGGAGTAGGACGAGGAGGAGGAGGAGGAGGAGGGGGAGGAGGAACATTAAGCGGATGAGCAGCTTGGCCTCCATCCTCACTCCCCAGACATCCGACTACTTGTTATTCGTTCCGGAGCTGGAGGATTGCGGGCAGAAGGAGCTGACGACTGCACCGTTCGCCGTGCATGTTTCCATTCCTGGCCTCTGCGGGGCCTTTCCCTGTTTGCGCCACAGGAAGGGTGAATCATGTTTTCAAGGACTGGTGCCCCTTCTAGGGTCTGCGGTCGTCGGTCGTCGGTCTGGGTGTGCCTGTCGGTTGTCGTCGTCGTCGTCGTCGTCGTCGTCGTTGTCGTCGTCCTGTCGGTCCGGGCTGTGTGTCTGTTTGGTTTGTCGTTTCTCTGGTCTGTCACTTCGCTGGGGGCGGGGCGCGTCCCCGCGCTGGCCCGTGGGGGCCAAATGAGATGCGGGAAGGGCGCTGGTCCGCAGTGCG